GACCTTTCGGCCGTCATGGAAACCTTTTTCATAGGCCGCGGTCCTCGCTGTCTCAATCGCAAACATGCTAGCCGTGTTCTGATCGGCAATAGTATCACTTATCAGCCTTTGAGTCACCCTCTCTTCCACAGCCAGGTTGGGATGGCTGGCCGATTGAGACTCGGCAGACTTGATTTTCCTTAGCTCACGCTCGACCTTCTCCGCGCGAGCTTCTAACTTTCGAATGCATTCATCTCTCTGCTCTATATCGTGCCGAGCCGCGTGAAGACGCATGCCGATTTCATAAGCGGTGTACAGTCCCTTCACTGCCCCATGAACGCCTTCACGAAACACTTCGAAATCCTGCCGACCTACCATCGACTGGTGGACTTCAGGTGGAAAAATCTGTCGAGCGAACTTGACTGCCACATTTGGATCCCGAATGATCGAATCCGCCTCTGTCATTAGTCTATTCCCCACGAAGACCGCAAAACTCAATGGGTGCGGAGTCGCATCGGATTCCCTTCCAGCACGGGGTTGAGGAGATCTGCCCTGTGGTTGCTTGTCTTTCCTGGGCGACCTACTTCGACGACGAGGAGATTGGTGTCTCTCCCGATCCCTGGAAGTCCACCTCCAGTGCGCGAAGGTTCACTACTTCGACTCATATCTCCTCCCAACTCAGCTAGCGTCCTCGCTTCTCTTCTGCTGTTGAAGAAAAGTCTATTTGACATTTGCACTTGTTTAACCTTTCTCAAAGAGCTGGACTGAGCTACTGACTCTGAGCATATAAATAGGACCTTCTTGCACGAAGTACACGCCCATTTATTTCCTACGAGGGCAGCATCTCCGAGGCAATCTCATTAATGTTAAAACCTCAACAGCCTGGCGCCGATTGTGTCATGTGCCCCAATTGCCCCACGAACCTCTGTTATTCAGCTTTCTAGTTCATGAACCAGCTGGGGCAAGGACAGATTTAGTAATCTAATCGGCCAAATACCTAAGCCCAATGCCGATCGATTTGTGCCGCAGCCGCTCCATGAAGTAGTGCTATTCGGCTTTCGGAGTTCATACATTGGCTGGGGCAGGGGCAGGGGCAGATTTATTAATCTGATCGGCCATACGACGGGTCCCTGAGTCAATTTACTTGTTCGGCTAAATTAAGGTTAAACTAATTGCCAAGTTACACTGTTATCTAATCGGCAGCTATGCAGTGGGATATTTAATCTACTCATCTCATGTTCTAATCGGCAGCTATGCAGTGGGATATTTAATCTACTCATCTCATGATCTTACTTCCTATCGGATCGATGGTTAGCATGCACAACAGAAGTAATCATTTTACCCAAAGTAGTGAAAAGCAAAACTCTTCATTAATATCAAAAATTGCGTACAACTAATAGTGAAATGAAAAGGAAATTTTCATTAATAAATTGAGCGCATATAGTATCTATTTAATACATGAAAATTACCTTGAACTAACAGAAATCTACTAAACAAAAACATACATTGAAATTGAAAATACCTAACAAAACTAAAATGTCTCCCAAATCAAGCCTCGGGATCAGACTCAAGCAGCTCAACGTCCACTTGCTCGTATGGAATTGGCATGGCCAATGTAACTCCGGCGGCAGCAAGGGCTTTGAGTCACCCATGTTTGAATCCCCGATTCTCGAATTTGGGGACTTCTTCTACATAGTTTTCAAGGGCGGTGCTCTTTCCAGCCTCGAACGCTGCGGATGCCTCAGAGTCGACTTTTTCCTTGGCCTTCTTCAACTCTTCTAACTCGGCCTCTACCTTGGCAAGCGCCTCGTTGGCTAACTTGAGCGATTCCTCGCTCGCGTTTGCCCTCTCCTCGGCGTTAGATCTTAGCTAGTCAGCAGTCCAAACCCTCTCCTTCTCAGCTTCGGCTCGAGCACTTTCCATTGTGGCTCTTGCCGCCTCGAACCTGGCCCTGCTTCGCTCACCTTCAGCTTCCGACTTCAAGCGGCCAATTCTTTCAACGGCATCGTGCTGGCGACGGCCTAATTCGGCTATCCTTCCAACCTTCTGCAAAACAAGAAGTTGGGATCGTCACATACCAAGAAATATCGTATACAAACCAAATCAAACAAGGAGTTAAGATCAAGTCACATACCAGAAGGGCCGATTGGGCAGCTAATGCTATTGCTACCAAATCCGGCTCGGCACGAAAGGTTGCCTTGTCAGCCGGCAAGGAGACCGAGGCAACCATGCTCAGTGCCATAGCTGGATCTTTCAAAGCTGACGCTTCAGAGGAGATCGGCATGTTTTTATTTATTTTTGGCTCAACAACAAAAGGAGCAACCACACCCGACTCCTCTAAGTGTGGCCGTTTATCAATGGGGCCCTTGGAGCCGGCCTTGCTCTCGTACGTTTTTCTCCCCGATCTTCTGAAATCTACTGTTCTTCTGTAATCGGCCACTCAGCATTCTTTTCCGTCTCGGCCGCATGAACTTGAGCCGTTTCCTCTACAATAATGGGTTCGGAAGATTCAGTCGAGGCAGGTCCAGAACGTGTGGCCTCGACTTTCCGTCGGGCGGTCATGCGTTCGGCATTTTTCTTTCGCGCCAACTGCGTGAGACTTTCTCCAGCCATATCCTCAGAATAAGCGCCGCGAAGGTCTCCCAAATTTGTAAAAATATCTTCGAAGGCAGCCCTTTGGCCTGATGTGGACGGAGGGTCAGACGAATTCAGTCCGGCTTCCTTAAAGGCCGAGTTAATAGCTTCATCAACTTCCGTTGTCAACTGGTCCGGGTCCTCGGCGATTGGTTCGGCAGCTTGTTCTTCTACGTGTTCAGAATCGGATGTTTCTAAACCAATCTGTCTCAAGTTTTTGAAGCTGGGGAAGATAAGGGCTGTAAGATGGTTGTCGCCTCGCGAGATCGGAATGTTGTCTGCCGCCGAGAATGTCGTGTAAGTCGGCTCGTACCGCAGTAGAATGTGGGCCACCCTCCCTTGTTTTTGAAGGTTTGGACGGCCGACGAACTGTAGCGTGGTTTTGATTTCTGCAAGCACAACGTCGTCGTTTGAAACTAACACTCTCTTCAAGTCGCTGCCTGCACAAATAAAACGGTTAGATGTATGTAGTGCCAAATACAGATATGGAAATAACAGAAACAAAAGTGATCTAATCGGCCACCTGGTTCGCCTTTTCGCCTTGGCACCGGGTCTAGGCGATCTTCACCTTCGCCGAATTCCCAATTGTCGTGGACAACGACCATCACGTTATCAACACGCTTGCCAGAGCTGGCAAGCATAGTCATTAAGTGATGATCAATATCCTTGGCTCTAAGAAAGTAGCGTCCTAGCCGGCCAGTAGATTTTGGCTAGGACATAACAGTGCCGAATGGCGGGTATACCTAAATTAATCCTAAGACGCCGATTTAGCTCTACAATTCCCATTATGATACGAAAGAAATTCACGTTGGGTTGGGAAGGGATTAGACCCTAGTATCGTAGAACGGTCCTCAAAAATAGATGAAGGGGAAAACGGATTCCGCCCTCAGCAATTGACAGGAGGGGAAAGACGATTGTGCTCTCGTCATCCCTCTCCATATAAGTGGTGCTGTCTGCCAAAAGTGACAGGTAGACGTCATCGGGGATGGAAAAATGGCGACGAAAGCCGGAGATTCGGTCCATTGAAAGGAGCTCCTTCATGTTTTGCCATCTTGACCTGCCCAAGGATTATGGAAAACTAAAAGCAAACAAGGAAGCGGGATCGAAAGTGAAGGAGAAGAAAACTTATAGGAGGCGAAGAGAAAAAATGAGAAGCAAGGAGTTGCAGAAGCCGCGAAGTGAAGGAGTTGCACTAGAAGGCAAACCAGATATCTTTTTGTATTCAGAACATACATTCGAAGAGACAATTTCAAATCACATTAAATGGAGGCAGTGTACGAAGGGACGGGAAAGCGTTACAATGACCAAAAAGCGTGTACGCGTTCTGACACGCATTGGGAAGAGGATTAACCGCCGAATTTTCGACTTCCCAGGCTTGAAGCCAAACACGCCGACTAACTGATGCTAGTGGGGTGTTTGGGGGGCAATTGTGGGAGCCGAATTTAACTGGATCAATAGGGGAGAATGGACCCGTCCGGTCCGGAACGTAACCTATATTCGGCACTGATCCTAGTCAATCGAAGAGCCGAATAAAATAACCGGCACTCTAGCCAGTAGAACAAAGGCCGAGTAGAAGTACATGTAAAGGATCATGGATGGGCCTGGCCCTAAGGCCCAAAGAGAATACTAAAAATACAGGATCATCAGTCATGGAAAGGTATGTGAGAACTAGTATGCTTAACTTAAGTTACAAGCAATCAAGAGAGTATACATTGACTTATTCGTCGGAGTGCTAATTCCGGCACCCCCGACCGGAGTGTTCATTAATTTTCAGGTGACTAGCTAAGGATCACAAGCGTCTCCCAGGATCTGAGGAGTATTTCCAAACCACTTTCCCACACAACTCATTTTGGTTTACATCATTTGAACCAGACCTGTCTAGTGGAGAGAACATAAAACTAACTGTTTTTTACTATTTGCTGATGAGATCTCTATACAATGCTCATGGTAACACACACACACACACATGAATTTAGCAGAGGATGGTAATTTTAGCACCGAAGTAAAGCACGTCAGCAGGCCTGAGAATAGTTTCTTGTCAGGAAGGTTAGGAAGGTGTCAAACTTTTGATGCTATAAGATATATTATTATCTACTATTAGATTATGGGGTTATACATATGTATATATACAACCTACACCTTACACACACTATGTCTAGTCATAGTTTCATAAATGTTTCCTTGAAATACATTGTGCAGTTTGTTAAACCATATTAGATGGGAAGGGGGTTGCTTGCTCTCCCTGTGTTCTTCACCCAAGTCATGGTTGTGAAATTTGGTAAATATAAATTGTGCAATGTGCTTAGTTCACCATAACTTGCCCCCTGTCTGCTTAATGTCTAAACCCGGAATATTGAGGCGATGTATTTGACTTTTTATTTTTGCAGAGGTATTTCTTGGTGTGATAATTCGCTGGCTCTAGTTTATGAATCTTGGTATAAGACACGGAGGATAAAAACCTGGGTAATCTCTCCTGGATCTGAAGATGTGAATCCACGCATATTATTTGATAGGTCATCTGAAGATGTGTACTCTGATCCTGGTTCTCCTATGCTGCGGAGAACTCCTGCGGGGACTTATGTGATCGCAAAGGTAATGAAGGAAAATGATGAAGGCACTCATATTTTACTAAATGGAAGTGGTGCGACACCGACTGGGAATATCCCATTCCTGGATTTATTTGACATGTAAGTGTCCCACAATTATATTGCTTTTCTTCTTCTTCTTGATTTCAATTTTATCGTTCTTCCTTGCTAACACTCTGGTCTAACACTCTTTTCCAGAAATACTGGCAATAAAGAACGAATATGGGAGAGCGACAAGGAAAAATATTACGAGACTGTTGTTGCTTTAATGTCTGATGAGAATAAAGGGGACTTAGACATTAATCAGCTAAAATTACTGACTTCCAAAGAATCAAAAACTGAAAACACCCAATATTACATACAGAGCTGGCCAGATAAGAAAGCATGTCAAATTACAAATTTTCCTCATCCATACCCGCAACTGGCATCATTACAGAAAGAGATGATTAGGTATGAGAGGAAGGATGGAGTTCAACTTACTGCAACACTATACCTTCCTCCAGGCTATGATCCCGCTAGGGATGGCCCTCTACCTTGCCTTGTTTGGTCATACCCTGGAGAATTCAAAAGCAAAGATGCAGCTGGGCAAGTTCGTGGTTCTCCTAATGAGTTTGCAGGCATAGGTCCAACATCAGCCCTTCTTTGGCTGGCAAGGAGGTATGATTTTTGCTTGCTTGAACTTCTCTTGATCTGATAGTTGAGTGCTTTTTAAATTTTTTTTTCTATTGCTTCTATTTGTTGGTTGGTTTGGTGTATTTATGTTGGATGAATTTATGATTTTTGCGTGTTTTTCAGGTTTGCTATTTTGTCTGGACCAACAATTCCTATCATTGGTGAAGGCGATGAAGAGGCAAATGATAGGTACTTAAGATGTTCTAAAATGCCAGTTCTTTGTTCCAATCACATAGTAAAATGAACCATTGTATTGGCAATAAGAAGAATTTCTCATATGTTTAATAATCATGATTGCGTTATATATATTGCTATATTGGTCAAACATTGTGTTCTGTAGGTATGTGGAGCAACTGGTTGGAAGTGCTGAGGCTGCAGTGGAGGAAGTTATCCGACGTGGAGTAAGCTTCTGAATTCTTTTTCCCTGGGAATCTTATTATGGTCCTGAATGTCCTGAGTCCTGATACTGACATTGTTTGGTGCTTCACTCTTTAAGGTGGCTAACCCAGATAAAATTGCTGTTGGTGGTCATTCTTATGGAGCATTCATGGCTGCAAACCTCCTGGCTCATGCCCCTCATCTTTTCTCTTGTGGAATTGCTCGCTCTGGAGCTTACAACAGAACATTAACGCCTTTTGGGTTTCAGGTAGTGCACTATTATAGTGGCAAAAATTATGTTGACGTCTAGGCACTTGCTTGCCTTCACATGACGTAGTGAATTACTACTATTTGTGTAGAATGAGGACAGAACACTATGGGAGGCCACTACCACTTATGTTGAGATGAGCCCTTTTATGTCAGCCAATAAAATAAAAAAGCCTATCTTGCTTATCCATGGAGAAGAAGACAATAATCCCGGAACGTTGACCATGCAGGTATGATTATTTCCTTTTTTGTCCCCCCCCCCCTCCTTTCTAAACTGTTTTTTCTTTTCGTTCCCTCAAAACTGTCTTCAGTGTCCATATTCAATAAATAATTGTATGATCCTTCAATAAATAAAATAATATTCTCTCACTCAATTCAACAGTATTTACTTTTCATAGATATTCGGTTCAAGTATTTTAATGGTTTCTATCTATGTTCTTCTCTATTATTCTTGCTGCTTTTTGTTCCCTTATTTGCATTCACAATGATTGCAGTCGGATCGTTTCTTTAATGCTCTGAAAGGTCATGGTGCGCTCTGTCGCCTGGTGATCCTTCCCTATGAGAGTCATGGTTATGCAGCACGAGAAAGCATAATGCATGTCCTTTGGGAGACAGATAGGTGGCTGCAGAAATATTGTGTTCCCAACACTTCCGATGCAAATGCAGAACTTGATGCATGCAAAGACGATGTAAGTAAAGAAACTGTGGATTCAGAGAGCAAAGCAGTTGGTGCTACTGGAGGTGGAGTCTTGGAGCTGATAGATCTTGAGCATGAAAGATTTCAATCCATGCAAAGATCATCATTATGGTAATTTTTAATATCCATTATATCCCTAGATGGTTCCCCCCTTTCCACATTTTTAAATTTTGTCCTGCTTTTATGCCTTTCCATTTAAACTTCCTCATCTTGTTGGCAGTGCTCAAGTTGTAAGCGTGCTACTATATATTTTATTTCAAGCTTCTTGATTAGCATATGTGATGTTAACATGGAAGAACATCTTCACTTCACCACCCTGGATGGTTATCATCAATGGATGCTAGTCTTTGCTGTTGATTATTCACATCTAGTTTATAAGCATGCCTCCAATGAATATTTTTCAACATTTTAAACACACAAGATCGATCTGTTTTTTTTTTATTGTGTGGCGTTGAATATATATATATATATTCTAAACTTTATTATGATGTTCTAATTTCTTTTGAACGATCATATTATATAGATTGATTGCTGTTGCTGAACTGCCGAGGATAGAAGGTTGGAGCTTTGATATAAAAAGGTGTGAAAAGAGAGAGTATGGTTGGCCGTCCTCAAAGCAAATCTGCAACATTCGAAATTCCAAGTGGTCTAGACCGTTGCTTACATGATTGTTATTTTGTGCTGCCAATGATAAACTTCCTCGGTGGCTCACCTCCCTGGGTGATATGGCAATGTGTTAGAATAATTTATGGGTGTCCATTATCCCTACTAAAATTATTTGCTTAATAATCTGTTTTGTATGATGTCTCTTCACACCAGTAACTGAGAATAAAATTGAAAAAACATTTCATCTTGGTGCTTAAGAAAAAAATGGAGTGGAATCAGCAGAATAATGATTCTATAACGGGAAAATGTGCAATGATTTTGTATTATTTTCCCTGCTAGGAGAGGTTATATTTCGAATCTATTATTGTTATTATTATTATATAGAATACTGAATTGGAATTGGAATTGGAATTGGAATGTTTTGAAACTTGAAATTTATTGTATACATGTCATTGTCAGGTGGAGCACAAATCAGATTGAATGCACCAAATTTCCTTTACTCTTAAAAACTATTCATAAGGAAAATATTATGGATTCTAAATAAATTATCTAACTTTTTACCTTTACATGAGTGTGAGACTTATACAAATCAAATATATGTGGATTTCATCATATGAGTGGTTTGGTAAAAAATTTGATAATTTATTTAAAATCTTAGCATCACTATTAATAATTTCTAATAATATCAGGGAAGAAAGAAGTTCCAATTTTTGGCAACATCGATAAAAGACCGCCAGACGAATGTCAACGACCATAATAACTTGGGAGTTGACGATACGGGAAGAAAGCATATCCTTTAATACTCCATTTGGATAGTGGGGTGGGTTATTAGACGAAAAAAAGAAAAGAAATGACCTTTTTCATTATCATGTTTAGGAAAAAAAATAAAACCCGTCAGGGAGAAGAGTGAGATTTCTGTCTTATTTTGTAATTTTAGGGTTAATCTTGATATTTTAAATATTAAATCCAATGGGCAAAATAAAAAAAAGGTAAATTATATCAATGGTCTTTATAGTTTGGGATTTATGTTACTTTTGTCTCTGATTTTTTAATTGTCACATATTTGATCATTAATTTTGAATCTTGTTTCAAATGAGGATAATTGAAGATATTATTACTCAATTTTAAAGATAAAATCGTCAATTTGATAAAATATAAACTAGTTTAACAAAGGAAAAATTGTTCTAGGGTCCCTCTCCCACTTTTCATAATGGAAGAGATCCACAAAATTATTTTTTAATGTCTAAGGTCCCTAAACATATCACAGAGAAATGGCAAAATAAAAAAAAGGTAAATTATATCAATGGTCTTTATAGTTTGGGATTTATGTTACTTTTGTCTCTGATTTTTTAATTGTCACATATTTGATCATTAATTTTGAATCTTGTTTCAAATGAGGATAATTGAAGATATTATTACTCAATTTTAAAGATAAAATCGTCAATTTGATAAAAATATAAACTAGTTTAACAAAGGAAAAATTGTTCTAGGGTCCCTCTCCCACTTTTCATAATGGAAGAGATCTACAAAATTATTTTTTAATGTCTAAGGTCTCTAAACATATCACAGAGAAATTTGACCTTACCAAATCAAAACTCATCTCTCTCTCTCTCTCTAAACTTCTCCATTCTCATACCTGTCCAGATCAACTCTTGTTCCTCACCCCTAACTTCATTCTCCAACCGATTGAGCTCCAGCTTCACCGGATCCGGCCTTCAATGGCGTCGCCGAGAAACAAGCAGTCAGTATATTTTGAACTGGGTATTTGGGTTCTTGTCTCCACATTGATGATGTGATTGTTGTTGTTGTCTAGGGTTTTGTGGTGGTTTTTCTTCTTGAAGATATGACAAAGCAGCCATCCCTCTTCTTGTGTTGCCTCTCCCGTAGCATCAGAAATTTGCACCACAATATTATCAATTAAATTGTATTTTTTGTATCTCTTACATCTCTACAATATTTCCTAGAATTTTCATAAAGTTTTTCGTTTTGTAAAGAGAAATCCAAGACATTTTAGTATATTTTGAATCGAAAAGGTACTTTTTACATATTTTCATATATATATATATATGTACACAATTTAATAAAATGACCCAGTCTGGAATTTCTCTGGGTTGTGGAGTCCAGAGAAATTCTGTAGAAAGTTTTGTCTGGAAATTTCTCTGGGTTAGGAAATTTCTCTGGGTATCTGTTTATGAGCGTGTTGTGGTTAACCCAGAGAAAATTGGGTTAAACCCTAGTATTTTTTCTATCACAAACTCATAGAAGAACTATTAATTGCCCAACTATTGTAACATACAACACGTACATTCATGGGCTTTGTAGAGTTGGATGTGTTGAATTTGCTTTGAACCTCATTCTCTGGATTTTTCAAATTTCTCTGGTTTTTAACTGAATTTTCTCTGGGTTAAAACCAGAGAAATTCTCTGGTTTTTGAACTAAATTTTCTCTGGATTGGTCCAGAGAAATTCTTCCCAGAATTTCTCTGGACCAATTTTCTCTAGGACTGAAATTTCTCTGGATTGATGTTGAGGGACCTTAGACATCATGAAAATATTTGATGTCCTTTTTACTATAAAATCATAATATCAGGGACCTTAAAAAAAATACCCCTATTAAATTTTCTTAAAATAAATTTTGACCATTAAAAAAAAAAAAAAAAAGTGAAGTAGAAAAAGTAAAAAGAGTATCCTTTTCTCGATTGGACACGTTTAACCAAGAGCATCCAATCCCTTAATTATTTTAATTATTACTCTTTTCTTTCAAAATATTAATATATTTTGGAGAATTCACCTTGTTTTTTTGGTAATACAATTATTATTTTATAAAAATATTAACTTTTTTTTGTAATATAATTATTACATTTTTTGAAGATTTTTTTTGGTAGTATAATTATTGTTATATTTTAAAAATATTAATTTTTTTGATAATACAATTATTATACTTTAAAAAAGAGACATTTACACACAAGTTCTAATTTATGAACTTATATTCCATTAAGTCCTAATCAAGATTTTTTGAACTTTTAAGTCACATTAAATTTTTAATAGTCGGAATTATCCTTCAAATAATAATTGTTCATTATTTCTGATTATCTATAAAGGAACATGATGATTAACATTTACTTTGATTTTTAAAACTTTAAAGAGTTATGTTAGAGAATCTAAATAAATTATCAAATTTTCTACCAAACTCCTTACATGGGCATGAGACACACACACATGTGATTTGTGTGAGTTCCACAACCATGTGAGAGGTTTGGTAAAAAAATTTGATAATTTGTTTGGGTCCATAGCATTTTCCAACTTTCAAATTGAAAAAAATAAGCAAAAATTATTTTGCAAAAATTATGTGCAAAAAAAAATTTGAAAAAATTGAAAAAACTTTTTTATGCAAAATTGAAAATTTTGTCTATGAAGGAGCATAATGATGGAACATTGATATACAAAACTGGAAAAAAAAAAATTAAAAATGAAAAAATTGATAATATTCTCAATTTTAAAACTAAAAAAAACTGTTAATGTTCTTAATTTTATTAGATAGTTGAATCAAACTAATAAATAAAAGCACAAAAACATTTAATCTCATACTCTGTTTTTTTATCAGTTAGTAAAACAATTATCTGAAACATTACTATGCAAAATTGATAATGTTCTTAATTTTAAAAATTAAAAAAAAAACTGGTAATATTTCTAGTTTTACTAAATAGGACTTATTGATTTAAAAAATCATAAATAGGATCTGAGTTTCTGTGACATTTGTAAATAGGACTTTTAGGTAATTAACTCTTAAAAATATTAACTACAAAAGAAAATGATATAATTTCATACTTTTTAAGTCATAACTAAAAAAAATCATATCAAACATAAAAAAATTATAATCAAATATCTCAAAATAATGACATAACTAAAAAAAATATATATATAATTAAAGATGCACATGGTATGGGATGTATATAATAGAACTCCTCCTATTTTTCTGTGCAAAATGTGTTATGTACTTTTAACTGATAGGCTTGTTGATTCAATTGCTTCCTTTCCTCAAATATTTTGTTGGTGCCTAGTAATAATAAGATTTATGGTTTTACTTTCAGGTTTACAAGGTTTTCTAATTAAGGAAGTAAAATGGGGGCGCATTATGCGACTTTGACAGGACCAAGTGTGGTTTGTGGAAGATGCATCATTGGAATGAGCAGAGGAAAACTAGGGCATTCTATGCTTCATTTGAGAATGGCGTGGCCACTGGCCAGCGTTGTTGAGGAAGAATAAAAGGGTGTTCCATAGTATCTTTTTCTGTAATGATTTTCGGTGTATCAAATTCAGTTTTCCTCTTGTCAATTAGCTCTTAGAATCTAAACTAAACATGCTTAGTTTGTATTTTTAACGAATAAATTTCTTGTATCAAATCCTGTGGACCACATTAATAATCCTAAAAGTTTTCTGGTTTTTGCTGGCATGTTGCATTTTATGGCTGCTTGACATGGGATTTTTCTGGATGTGGCAACATTACTTGTGTTAGTTGTGCACTCTTTCATTTTTGGAGTGTTTTCAATGGTCATGTATTTTGGGATTGGTGAAGAATGTTGGCCGCTGCTGAAAATTCAGCTGTTAAATTTGCTACGGGTTGTGCTTTATTGAAGCCAAAGCCTCTGTATCTTGGAATCCAATTCTGTGCTGGGCTGGGCATATTTTCTTTGCATATGGTATGAGGTGGAATCGACACTGATATTTGGATGAATTTAGCTGGGGTATCCAACTGCTGCTTTATTCTTGTACCCAGCAAGCAATATCTGAGAAAACTTACAGTACTGTTTGGATGGAGTGATTTCGTGAGAAATGATGAGTAAAAAATTATTTTCATGTTTGGTTTAGATAAGAAAGGTAATTTTTTTATTGGGCAAATTACATTAACAGTCTCTATCATTTGAGGCTCATGTTATTTTGACGCCTGACTTGTTAATTATGACACATTTAACTCTGAATTTTGAATTTCGTTCTAAATAAGGACAATTAAAGATATCATGACTCAATTTTAAGGGCAAAATCATTAATTTGATAAATATAAACTAATTTGACAAAAATAAATGTCAAAAAAATATTTTTGAATTTTATAAATTATTTCTACTCACCAGAGATAAAATTATGTAGAATTGATAAATCTTTCACACATTTATTATTTATTTTTTTTACTAAATTAATTTTATTATGTGTTTGGATGATAATATATGAAATATTTTTGAATTTTTTGATTCAATGAATTGATTTAATTATGGTATCAAAGTTGTCGTCATATTTGACTTTTGAAAAATTAGAAACTAATTTAATGAAAATAAAAATAACCATCCATTACATAATCATCATCTAAACATATACTAAAAATTAATTTGGTAAAAATAAATAAATAAATATGTAAAAGATTTATCAATTTGATGCAATTTTGTCTTTAAAGGGTATAAACAAATTTTAAAAATTCAAAAATAATTTTTTGATATTTATTTTTCAGTCCAGAGAAATTTGGTCCAGAGAAATTTCAGTCCAGAGAAATTTGGTCCAGAGAAATTTCAGTCCAGAGAAATTTGGTCCAGAGAAATTTCAGTCCAGAGAAATTTGGTCCAGAGAAATTTCAGTCCAGAGAAATTTGGTCCAGAGAAATTTCAGTCCAGAGAAATTTGGTCCAGAGAAATTTCAGTCCAGAGAAATTTGGTCCAGAGAAATTTCAGTCCAGAGAAATTTGGTCCAGAGAAATTTCAGTCCAGAGAAATTTGGTCCAGAGAAATTTCAGTCCAGAGAAATTTGGTCCAGAGAAATTTCAGTCCAGAGAAATTTGGTCCAGAGAAATTTCAGTCCAGAGAAATTTGGTCCAGAGAAATTTCAGTCCAGAGAAAATTGGTTAGAGAAATTCTGGCCCAAAGAAATTTCTCTGGATGAATTTCTCTACTTTTCTTCTCATTTCCCCAATACTGTAATGGTGATCAAAGGTAGGCCAAGCAAGCATACAATAATAATTTAATGATAGCAAAACTAATAACATCTTAATAACAAAACTCATAAGCACATTTAATCAAAACTAACTAAGAAAGTTTGGATAACTTCAATTGCAAGTGAATGGATTCATGCCTGTGTTTTACAAGATGACGACGGACACCAGGGAATTTCTCTGGATTTAAAACCAGAGAAATTTTCAAAAAAAAAAAACAGCAACAACAACCCAGAGAAATTGTTGCATCTTCAGGCATACTTTGGCAGCAGAGTGACTGTATCACCGTATTTCAACTCAGCTATTGCATCTGGTCATGCCCATAGAAATTTTTTGCGTTGAGAGAATTTCTCTGGTTAGGAATTTTCTCTGGATTGTGGAGTCCAGAGAAATTCTCTGGGTGGGAGAATCTCTGAAAATGTTTGTCTGAGAATTTCTTTGGGTTTGGGAAGTCCAGAGAAATTTCGACAGTGGTTGGAGATCGTCGCCTCGAAGCCGTGAGAGAAACCACTCTCAGAAGCAATCAATTCCCAAGGTAAAGACAGACAACCAGTGACATTCTTGGTTCGAACTAACCATACCAGAGAAAAACCAAACCCACCATCATATATATATATATATAGGCATCTGACTTATAAGCTA